GAATATTCTAAAGTGAAGCAATCTGCTTAAAAATTTAAAAATGTACGCTCTGTTATTTTTCAAAACTCACCTTGTTTCAGGTAAAAGTTCTGGCATAACAGAGAGTTTATTAACCTTTTCATATCGCATTCATACGGGGTACTTGAAAAAACTTTCATATTTGCAGTTATCAATGCGACTCATCGTTATCAAGTACACAGCTATCATAATACAGTCACTCATATGGCCTTCGGCTCATATTTAATTATTATGCAAATCGTGCTGCGAGGCGTTTCCTAAATTTGAATAATACCAACAACAAGTACATCAATATCATCATCATCGAACTTTTTGTATTCATGTTCCAAATATACCAGAGCTTGCAAATGAGAGTTGAGCGTTTTTTCGTTTATTCTCTTTCTCGCATCATACTCAAAAAAAATTGTGTAGACACGTCTCTCTCTGAGCGTCACTCTCTGTTTTTCTTCAGCATCTGTTTCGCTCAGACGCAGTGCGATGACTCATTCGTGTGACGCACTCACATGAGTGTCGCGTAAAACTAACACGATTTTCTCTCACACAAAGCCTCTCAGCAAGAAACACTTTGACTAACAAACTCAGCAGAAAATGTTTTTGCCTTCGTGTGCATGTAAATACACGCATACATACATACAAAAAGAACGCAGCAATCGCGCGTGATTACCCATACAAACGCAACTTACCGTTACTTCATTTAACTCAAGCAAACGATCAGTGTTTGACTTGAGGAAACGAAAACAGAAACAACTATCTCCCTCAGAGCGCGAGAGAGCTAAGCCAGACGCGACAAAAACACTTTCTGTCTGAGTATTTTTTGCCTGTGTCACTGAAAGACACTTTTTTGCAGACAACGAAAAAGTGTTAACAGTTTTTTGCAAGCTATGAAATATACATATCCACATATCTAGCAAGTCTTTTGTCCATTGCATACTTTGGGGCGTCAAGGTTGTCATAAATAACTTCATGTTTTTTTATAAACAATTATCAACATATATATATAAAATATATTGATAAATGCGTATGTTATTTATGTATACATTTATATATATGCGTACACCCACAACAATATACATATGTTCCAATTGCAGTGCAGAATATCCCATCCCAAGCGAGTCGTTGCAGTAATGACATTCCCTCTAAAATATTAAACTCAATTAATGATTCAACAATTGCGTTAACATTTCACCTTCCATTTATGAATACATTAAATTGCGATTATGAGGCAGACAGGCAATATATATGGTACATATATCCTACTCGTTATAAGGCTTATTAAATTGAGAAAACACGAGTCGATTGCAGTTCCAATTCTCATTAATTTATTTTCATCAATGATTTTGACTTGGGTGGTGTATAAATGTGTGTGTGGCTCAATGAATGATTTAATGACGTTTGACAATATATTGGCCAAGAACAATGCGAAGGCGCATCTTAATATCGATTGGAATTTGGCCTTAATAAAAACGCGCGTGGGGGTGTGTGAATGTGTGTGTGTGTGATGACTGTTAAATGCATTTGTTTATAACAATATATAGAATTCAAATCCTGCGATCAGTACAATTTATAATTTTCGTTTTTTCGTATTTCAGCTGTTTGTGTATATAAATACATATAAGTATATATATATATATGTATATGTATATATCTAACTGTATTTCGTTTTATCATCTTCAGCATTGGATTAGAATTAAGGCTAATTTTTTAATGTGTATGCTTCGATTATGTGTATATGTATGTATGTGTTTGTGTGTGTGTGTGTGTCTTTGCGTATGGGTAGATGTTGTTTCTGTAATTTTAAATGTGTTCATTTATTTAGCTTGTGTTGTTTTTTCTTTTATCGAGCTTTAGTTCAACTAGATATCATCGATAAATTTATGTTAAAGTTATAAGGAAACATTTTCTCTTCTTGCTCTTGTTTTTTCTGATGCAGCAGCAACGCTTAAGTGTCTAAACTGTATTAATTATTAAGGTAATGATTAAATATTCTAGACTTCTTCATATCCTCCTCCCTATCATCGCGCGTTGTTATCTCGCTCTAACTCATAAGTATGCGTGTGTGTCTCTGTGTGTTGTTTATTTGTTTTCTTTTTCAATTCGCTTGCTTTTTGGTAATTTTGTTTGTTGCTGCTGCGTTATTGCCAGATTAGTAATGTTTAATCGAGCCCATCATCCACGAAGTCAGGTGATTCCTTTTTGGGCTTTGGTTCACTGTTGTTGGCGCGTTTGGCCTCCGAATCATTGAAGGCAGAATTGTCGGCATCAGCATCGCCAGCTGGGAAACCGGCGCCGCCACCAGGGAAGCCGCGCGGGAAAAAGTTCTTGATTAAGTTGAAGATTTTCGGATTGGACATGTATTTGGAAATATTAGCCGGATTGGCCAGTATGTCTTGCATGGCAGCTGCCACTTCTGGATCCTTCATTTTCGACATCAAGTCGCCCATATCAAAGCCGGATGGCATGCCGCCGCCGCCGCCACCTGGGAAAGCGCCAGCACCTGGGAAGCCACCAGCGCCTGGGAAGCCACCGGCTCCCGGAAAGCCGGCTCCAGCACTGCTTTGCTTAGCCTGCTCCTTGCGAGCCCTGTTTTGAGCACGCTGACGCTCTTTAATTTTGCGCTCAGCCTGCTTGCGCTCTTGCTTGATGCGGTGCTGCTCGATCTTCTTGGCGTTTGGTGTCACCTCACGCAACCATTCGTCGGCCTCTTCATCAAAGTCCAGCTTGCAAGCCTGACGCAAATCCTTGGCGGCCTCCTCAAACTTGCCGAGCAGGCGATTGGCGCGTCCACGAAACTTGTAGGCAGCTGCCGAGTCACAGTTCAATTCCAAAGCCTTGTCGCAGTCACGAATGCATGCATTCGGCTTTTTTAGCTTCAAGAAGGCCTGACCGCGCTTGGCATAGAATAAGGCATTGCCCGGATTCAGCTCAATGGCCTTGGTATAGTGATTGATGGCCTCGTCGAATTTCTGTTGGCTGTAAGCAGCAGCGGCCTGACCACGCAATTCGCTGGCCTGATCGATTTCCTCCTCAGTGGGCACTTTTTCTGAATCGCCCATTGGCTGAGCTGGTTCGTTGTCGGCTTCAATGACACCTGCAGACAGAAATGTAAATTGAGGTTGGGAAGTTCAGCGATTGGGACACGTGATTTTGTATTCTTCTTTTTCAGTATGTTATATATTACTGGCGCGTTAGTAGTCTTACCTTCCATATCTAATTCGACATCGGACTCTGGCTCCGAAACGCTTGCGTCTTCATCACTTTTGTCTGAATCGTCCGCAGCCGTAAAAGCCGGCTTCGCCTTGGCACCGGCATCGCCACCGAAAGGGCATTTGCTAAACAAGCAGAGAAAATTCAAGAAAAACTTGCAAGGATTTGGATTACCCAGCTAGTATGCACACGCACACACATAAACACACACTTACCCAGCGTCCGGCATCTTGAAATCGCCCTCAGGCACCTTACCGCCGAACTTTTCCACAAAATCTTTTACAAATTGCAATTGAGGCATGTTCAATACAGTAGGATTTGCATTGACAAAATCAATAAAGCTTTTCAGCTTAAGCAAATCTTCATGTTGCATTGGCGCAGCCATTTTTTGAAATTTCGTTAATTTTCTCGTAAATTCTTCCTACACAATTACAGATATATATATATTTATACGTATGTAAAATGCGTCTCACACAATAAGCTGAAACTAAATTTTTCTCCGGTTGTCAGAGTGACCGAGTTTTAGAGATAGACTTTTGACAAACAACTACTAGATATCGAGTATATATATTTGTGAATACATTGACTTGAGAATCGAGACCTATATTTTTTCTTGTGAAAAGATATATCGATGCTACTAAGTATTTAATTTTCCAAGTATCAGCGAATATCGCCTTGAACGATATACGCATCAAATATATCGATATATATCCACAATCGCTCCTTTATTGTGATTGTGCTCACCTCGACAGTGAAGGCCTTCTAGAAAATTCAAATGTTGATATATGTACATATATGTAAACCCAGCGACAAAAAAGGGCACTCTTTATGGTTATTGCAATTTTCACCTTTTCTATTTGCTCCACGATTATTTTTAGAAGACCCTCACTGAAAAGCCCAACATTTTTGCATTGGCTGAACAAAATGTATCGAATCGTAAAATAGCGGTTAAAACTAATTTCCATGAAAGTTCACTTCGACGCTTTTTGAAAAAAAATCGTTAGACGGACAAATTAAGAGGGAAGGAACAATAAAGCAGGGAAAATGCACAAATGAACGGGGAATAGTGGTATTATTAGAACGAGAATCGCTTCAAAACTGCTATAGAAATTGCATCTAAAGTACAGCAATAGTTTGCTAAACAAATTTAAGCTCGAACTTTTCAACGTCGACTCAAGACACCACCCAAAAACCTCTCCCCAATCATTATTTATGTTGAGAGCAAAAAGTTTACATATTACGAAAATAAATTTGTTTTTGTTGAAACTGTTATTATTTTATTACTACATTTTTTCATTTACGATAACGTCGACTTTTTTTGTGTGCTTTCTGATTTTTTAAATATTGTAAATTTGATTCATGAACACATATAAAAGTTGTATGCAAAATTGATCAAAAAATAATAATAATAATAAAATATTGCATTTATTGAATTCAGATGATTTTCTCACCAATTTGTAAATCTTTTTTTGTCGCCAATTTTTATTTTTTGTTAACCCAATTAACCAAGTATGTATATGCCTTTTAGCTAGAAACTTTGACAACAAAAATATATTGAAAACACTAGTTTATTTCTTGGCTCTTTAATTATATATATTAATGATATAAGCATGCCTTTCGATCAAAAGCAGAATTACATCTGTATTGTTTCAATATGCACTCTGTTTCAAGTTATTTTTCTCACTTTTCAAAATCAATTAGTGATGAAAAAAATTAGCTTTAAAAAAAAAAAAAAAAAAAACCCCTAAAAATTAAATTGTCTAAATTGGTACTTTTATCATAATCGTATCGGGTTCTCTTACTCGATATTTAGCTGAGGCTGAAAAAAAAATTTTTCTTTGTAAATTATAGATAGAACATTAATTGTCCGAATCTCATTGGAGCCGGACGTTACGCCAGGATTCTCCAAAGGGTGGCGGCTGCGGATGCGGTTTCCAGTTGAGGCAATTCAAGTCGATGGTAAGCTTTGGGCGCTTAAACTGCGGCAGCTGCAGATGATCGTTGATTGTTTTGGCGGTCACACAGATCACGTTCTGCCCCTTCCAGTATTTGATCATCTTCATGGATTGCAGAGTATAGATGATGTCGTCATGCGTAATGCCGCTCGCCTCGCTTAGCTCTTTGATGGTCGTCTGCTCCGCTGAGCAGCGGCCCTTCATCAGTTCGAGCAGCGTGTAGGCCCAATAGCTGCGATAGCTGAGCCTGCCCAGATCCGACAGCGGCTTCTCTGGGCTGCCAATGACGCCCTCCTTGCGGGACAGCTCGTAGCTGAAGGCAATCAGTAGCTTGCCATAGCCCTTGCGCTGGTGCGGCGGCAGCACCAAGATGCAGGCCACATTATTGTTGTCCATCGACTTCTTCTCCTTGGAGAAGTAGCCCACAATGTGACAGCCCCGCTTGTCCGTCTCGCAAAGCACATAGAAATAGAATGGGTCCATGTCGAAGTACAGTACTTTATGGTCGAGGAACAGCTTAGCCATCAAACAGAGCAGCTGGCAGTAGAGCGGCTGCTCCTTGCCGTTCACCTCGAATATGGAGATGGTGTTCTTGCGATAGATTTCCTTGCCCGGTGGCCTGCGCACCTGGCACGTGTACAAGTGGTATCGGTAGCTCTTCTCCAGCCGCATATACTTCAGGCAATACTCGCAGACGTACAGCACCCGCGCCTTTCCATATTCACCCGGATAGGGACTGAAGTACCAGGTGTCGATCTCGTAGTTGCCGAACTGGAGCTTGTCGATATACTTGATCTTGGTGATGAACTCGTGCTCCTTTTCTAGCGCCGCCTGCGAGGCGGTCAACTCAGCGTGGCTCTTCTGGACATGGTTGATCTCGTCGTAGCGTCGCTTCTGATAGCGCGTCATCTTGCGGTCGCTGTAGTCGTATCGATTGTTCTCACATGCCGACAGATAGTAGTCCTTGTGGCCTTGTCGCTTGGGCCGCACCACGCTTGCGCCCTGTTGGTTCGTTGCGTTGGCCATTGCAATGGCGTTGGCGCTGGTGCTCGGCTGATCGCAGTTCAGTGGCTCGGGCTGGACGGGCGTGACCGTGATGCCGCCCAAATCGTCTGGATTGTCGGAGATGCGATGGCGGCCCACCCACTCGTCGAGTCGACGGTTCAGGCCCACATAGTGCACGTAATACTCGTTCGGGCTGACGCAGTTGTCAGTGACGCGCGACTGCAGCACTTGGCCAGCGTGGACGGTGCCATCCGCGCGGCGTATGTAGTAGATCTTCTCTGGATTGTCGGCTATGTCGATTTTGTTCAGCAATAATTGGTCTCCACCACTATTGCCATCACGCTCGCCGCCATCATCATCGTCATCGTCATTATCCTCCTCGTCATCATCATCCTCGTCACCATCACCATCAGCATCAGCATCGGCATCTGCATCGGTTGTCTCTGTTGCGGTAGCCGTCTCTCCAGATGTGGTGTCCGTGTCCTGTTCTATTATCATCACATCCGAGTCATTGGACTCAGTGTCACATTCCTCTGAATTATCATCAGACTCGTCTTCCTCATCTTCCTCTTCTTCGTCGCCCACACTGTTCGCCTCGTCGCTGCTGCTCGAGATGGCTTCAAATTGAGCTTGTAGTAAAAACGGCTTCTGACGAGGATCCCGCGGCGCCAAGCGCATCTGCTGCATGTGAAGTTGCTGTTGTGGAATGGGCATACTCAGGTCGACATGATGCTCCTGTGACTGTTGGCATCGGATCGGCTGATCGACTCCGTAGTGCGCGCGCTTATAGGGCGGGAGCAGATCAATACCCTCATCACAATCGTCAGTGGGCGACGCCGGTGTTTCGGGCATTTCAGTTGGTGATGCTGGGGAAGTTGGTGATGCCGGTGAGGTTGGTGAAGCTGGTCCTTCAGTTTCCATTTCCATATTTTGCTCCTCGACGACCTCTGACTCCTGTGGTTGATGCTGTTCCGGCGGCAGTTCAGGTTCCGGTTCAGGTCCTGGTTCTGGTTCCGGTGGAGTCTCAATCACCATGGCCTCTTCCGTTGGAATTTCTTGCACTTGAGTTAGAGTTTGGATTTCTGCTTGCGTCTCGACCTCAGTTTCCTCTGACACTGGTGAAATTGGCTCAATTCCTGAGTCAACTGGTGCATCAACTGGTGCCGGAACAGTTTCTGCAACGTTTTCCGCATTCTCAGTTGTACCACAATTGCTGAAGTCGTCGTTGCCGGTTAAATCGCTGACATCGACCACTGTGGTGGGTGAGGGCTCGTCCTCAGTGGTATCATCGCTACCCTCTGATGGTGATGTGTTTGAATCACTCGGACTGCTGCTGCTAGAGCTACTAGAGCTGCTGCTCTCCTCTCTTAAGCTCTGCTGTTCGCCCATGACTGGCTGTTCAATGTGCTCCTCGTCTAGGGACGTTTGAGACGTTATAGATGTGTCCAGATCTGGTGGCTCTGCTGTACTGTCGGGCTCTGGTGTGCTACTTGTATCATGCGATCGGTAGGCCTCGCTGTCATCTGGGTCTGAAGGTTCCGTGGAGCCACTGATGTTTAGATTCTCTTTAAGTTCGGCTTCCGCATCTTCTACCGGCGTGGACGGTCGTCTGTCGACCATTGCATAAGTTCTCTCCCCTTCGGCCATTTCCCCTCTATATATTGGTCTCTTAAAGTCCTCGTCGGACATTTTATGTGTTTATAGTTTTTACCGCGTATAAATCCAGCAGCTCAAATGAAAAATTGTCCTATTTGTTTTGCTACGCAAAAACAACACTAACAAAAAGTTATAGCGATGGAACTGTACCACTGCATCGATACATACTGCAAGATATCGATAACATTATGCATGGTTAGCTATAATTTCGAATATTTCAATATAATTATATGTTTTAGCATCAAATATAAAAATATATAGTAATTGGCAGTTTATAAATTATTAAAATATAGCAAACTGAAAGTGGCATGCATTCCCCATGCCAAAAACAAAAATAGTGTTGAGCAACGTCAAACATCTTTTGGCGCAAATTTCCACGCAAGCCCATGCGCATAGCAGCACATGTTTGAATCTAGATTGTTCTTATATGTACAGTGATAAAGAAAAGTATACGTCTGATTAAAATTAGCTGTAAACATTTATTTATTTTAACAGAAATAACAGCAGTAATTCTTTTTTAGAAATCAAATTGTACAATGGATATACATATTTAAACATAATTACGAAACAATGTGCTTAAATTATTTTAATACTTATCACAAAATCAAAAACTTTCAAATTATATACGTAGAATGTTAGAAAGATAATTTTCAAAAAATCCCGGTTTTACAATGAAAGCTGATATGTGGCTTCAAACCAAACAATTTTAAAACAAATTCAACTTTAAGTCAGCGTATAATCATATTATATATGTATGCATTTTAAATGTTCAATAATCTTGCAAATCAATTTAATCAACAATCAAATTTTGAATCTAGTATTGGCTTGCTAGTTAAATTGCCATAAATATGGGTTTACTTCTATTTTAAATACATTTGTGTTAACTAAATATTCGTTSGAAAGAACAACAAAATGCATATATTTTAGTGTATATGTATGTATGCATATGTGTATGTGTGTACTTATGTATATGTATATCTCTTAAGTTGAAGCCATGTGTATAAAAAAAAATCAGTGCATTAAACGTTCGCTACAGTTTTCCGTTAGGCTAATATTTTTCTGGGCCAACATAGGCAACAAGCGCAATATGTATTAATATATGGTTAGGGGTATATGTATGGATATCTGAGTTCTCACTCAATAGTTCGCATAGTATGTGCAGTAAACAATTAACAAGTAAAACAAAGAGCAGATTAACTATATAT